GGGAGGGGGTAATATCGTGGTCAAATAAATGCTACATCTTCCAGTTCATTCATCACTTTCTTCCCACAGCCAGAGGAGATGCTCTAGAAAGAATTCCGGGGGCATGGGCATAGAACATCTGAGCAGGCCCCAAACAGTCTCTGCCTAACCCATATCACCATCTGAAAGGAGGCTGTTGCACTGGGTTAACACCAACACTGTATCTAAAGATGCCTGCCATGCTGTCTCCATTCTGGGTGGTCACTGATCCTCACAGGTCTTTAATTATGCCACCTCCCAGCCTTGTGGCATCACAATATTCTGAGTGTGTGTGTGTGGGGGGGTGTAAATATTAAGATGCTTTTCAAGCACAGACAGCCAAGTCTGTCCATCCTGCAGGCCCCAAGGAGGAGCAGGAAGTCTCAGAATCCAGTTCCCATATCTAAGCATTTGGGGCTGTTTTTCACTGCCTGGGGTTGCTTAGGATTATGGGCAGCCTGTGGATGCATGGGCACACAGAGAAACAGAAAGTATCTTGATAATGGTTTTGCGTGGTGGCAAAAGAGCTTAGCATTTTAGCCAAAGACTGCCCATATTCACACCCAGGGCGATACTGTTGGAATCAAAAAGTAGTATTGAAAGAAGCAGAGCCTTCAACTTGCTGCTGTCTGGGGCACCTGTAGATATCCAGGTAATGTCTCTCAGGTAAGTGTTGTGTGAAAGCAAAACCAGTAATGGTCCCCTGCCTTTTTTTAGTATACCTTCACTCACACAAGGCAGATCTGAAAAGCTCATCCTGCACCATCCTCATGTATGGCTCAGCCACCTGCCTGAGCATCAACCAAACCAGTCATCCAAGGGATGTCATGTTGCCAACACATCTGTCAAATTAAGAGCACCCAGCTCAAAAAGACAGCAAGACCCAGACGGTCACCAGGACGTACACACATGGTCTGGACACTCACCCAGTCCTCGAAGTGGCGGCTCCCGTTCTGCAGCAAGTCCTCGAACTGGATAGTACAGTTAGCCACAAAATCATCGTACCCAATGGGGGCATCGTGGAAAACAGCCATCTCAATCTTCCTGCCATTGCAAACGTCAGTCACAAATTCATCATTCCAGGCAGGGCTGTTGGTTTTCTGCTTTGTCGAGGTTTGCCCAATCCGGGAATCGTCCACGTTGAGGGCAATGTAGGGGTCCAGAAGAAAGGTCTGTGGCCTGGGACCCACGGCATGCCTTAGCGACCAAGCTGTGGGTTTCAGATTCACCGCTTCGCAGATTTTAATTTTCAGCATGCCATTGAAAACCACCATGGTTAGATGGCTTCACTTTTCCCTGGGATTAAGCACACTCTGGCGTGAGGAGAGATCCTGGGGGATTTCTCCAATAAATAGGAAAGCAGGTTTGAAAGAAAGAGTGGGGACGGGCAGGGTGCGCAGGCTGCGAGCGGGGGGGGGGGGGTCCTTTTCGCTGCTTTTGTTACCTATGGCTCTTTAGCCTTTCTTCTTGCGACACCCAGTGAATACATGCATATATACATACAGACGCACGCACACAGACACGTATATGTTTTTCTTTGCTTGTGTGTTTGCTAACAGACAAACAAGGAGGGGACAGGAGGGGACAGGAGGGGAGGGGAAGGGAGGGGGGGCTCTTCCCTGCTTGCAGAAATCCAAAATGCAATCCGAGCACAATCAAGAGATCCTCGGAGGGTGAATATGGAAACAGACGCTCTTCCCCCCCCCGCGGCTCCTCCTCCGCCTCCGTTTTTCCTTTTCGTTTTAGATCATAATCCTGGCTCGGTCTGCTGCGTACACACAAAAGCAATCCGTAGCTCTTGCACACGCTGGTGGTGTCTTGTCTGTGCGGCGGCGGCGGCGGCGGCGCGGCGGCAGCAACCGAGGAGAGGAAAGGAGGGACGGAGAGGAGAGCGAGAAAACCCACCCAGAAACACCAAACCAAACAAGCAGCCCTGCCTACTTCACAGCCTTCCGACCGAGGGGTGCGGGGAGAAATCACACAGCGCGGGGAACCTTACATCCGCCTCGGCTGCTGTTGCTGCAGGAGCTTCCTCGCCTTCTTCTCCTTCTCCTTCTCCGCCTCCTCTTCCTCCTCCTCCTCCAAGGCCAAGGATCCAGGAGATCGAATCCAATGCATGGGGAGAAACTGCTCCGGGGTGGACCGCTCGGGGAGTTTTAATTTGTTGCTTCCTTTACCAATTCAGAGCGCAATCCGCAGATAGGATGGCTTAGAAGGAAGCTTCCGATCGCTCTATTTATATAGATTTAAAAACAAACTTGCTTCAGCCAGAAGCACGGTCCCCCCCACCCCTCCCGGCCCAACGGCTTTGTGGAGGACTTGGGCTGCTGTCTGAGCTCGTCTGATGCTGGACTAAGAAGCGCTACCCCACCTCTCCCTCGCACACATACACACAGACACACTCGCTCGCTGTCTGTCTCCCTGATGCAGGAAATGCGCAAAAGACGTCAGTGTGTGTGTGCGCGCGAATAGAAAGTTTTGCCTGTTGGGGGAGCAATGCGCTTAAAGTGATCACCGGCCAGGAAGGCAGCCACGAGCGAGGAGAGCGGAGGCTTCGCTTGTGCGGCCGCCGCTTGCTCGCCCCCTTCGTGACTCTGGGCAGAGCCCTGGACGGGAACCTTCCTCCTCCGCCTCCTCCTCCTCGCCCCACTTCGCGCGCGCCGTGTGCGTTTCCTCCGCCGCCATCGCCGTGAACCGCGCCAGGGGTCACGAAGTGACACCCCGGTGGCCTTTCCCAAGAAGAGTGCAATGTAAGAAAGCCCAGCTCCTCTCCCTCCCCCAATTGCGGGTTGATTTGTGTTTCCTTTAAAAACGGTCCCGCGTCCTCGCCAGCAATTCCCAAACGCTTTAAAAGCACGATCCAAGCAAGGCGTGGACGCGGCAAGAAGAAATCACTTCCGTAAGGCTGCAAATCAGAACGCGGTGCCGGTCCCTCAAAAGCACTAGAAGCTTGAGGCAGTCAAAATTTTTTACTTAGCCGACCCTCCCCATGCCAAAGAAAGACCCTTTTCCCACCTCACTGCTCTACCAAGCCATCCATCCCATCTCCAGATTCGACAAGTTAATAGGTGTGTCGTGTTTGAATTACTAGCCAGAAGATGACAGCAAGTATTAGACTGGGAATTGGGAGGTGCAGCTTCCAGTCCCCATTCGGCCATGAAGCTCAGTGGGTGACCTTCGGCCAGTCTGGCCTACCTGACAGGGCTGTTGCGAAGATAAAATGGGGGAAGCAGGAAGAGGATTACATAACCCACCTTAGGTCCTTGCAATAAAAAATAAATAAAAATGCTCTCGTTTGCATTGGAGGTTTATGAGCAACAGGCAAGAGCCAAACTAAGTTACACAACCCCCTGTGTCTCACACATGACAGCACTGCCCTAGATCCTGACCCTTGGTTTTTATTGCACACTGTCCCCAAAGTGGTGCATTCTGTCAAGTGAGGCATTCTCAAGGGAAATTACAGTACCCAGTTTCTGAAAATAAAAGTGTATATTTGGGAGAGCCAGCCTTCTGTAAATCTTCCCTCATCCCCAGTGCCAGATTTGCAAGGAAGAGGGGTTGTCATCGTGGCCAGGGGGACATAGTGGTTAAGAGTGTGGGACTGGGACTCAGGCGATGCGGGTTCCAGGCCCGACTCAGCCATGGAGCCCAGCAGTTCACTTCGGGCCAGTCACAAACTCTCAGTCCTGCCCGACTCACAGAGTGGTCATTGTGTGGATAAGATTCAGAGGAGGAGAACTATGTAAACTGCCTTGAGTTAGTTAAAAAGGCAGGATAGAGATGTACTCAATAAATAAATGGGAATAAGGAAAATGCATTTTGCAGTGCTCACTTGCAGTGGGGGTCCTTCATAGGTGTCGGCATTCCGACAAGGAGAGCCCATTCATAGAGGAAATGCTATGCAAGATGTGTGTGGTAGATCAGTGAGAGCCACTGTTGCATTTAAATGCACTGGCCTATTTTGAATCGAGAGCAGCCAAAGACCCAAATGTGCTCCTTTTTGTATGCTAATGGTTGTATGTTCAGAAGTTATCCCTGGTTCAGACAACCCTTCTGAGACCTTTGAGAAGGTCCCATTAGGCAGACCATGTTGTTGTGCCGTGTGTTGGCTACTGATATACTTGCAATCCCATTGCAAAAGTGCCAGTTCCTCCCAGCCTTCTGGAAAATGATTAAAACCATTCTGTTTGTTTTCTACCACTGGTCCATGGACCGGTGCCCATCCGTGGGAGATTTCCTGCCTATCTGTGGGGGTGTTGCACCCCGCTTGCTGTGGGCTGCCATGGGGGCTGGCTGTGCTCTCCTACCTCTTCCTTAGTTGACATTGAGTTCACAAGGGGTGCGCCGGTGCCACTGGGGGGTACCAGGGAGAGGAGAGAGAGCTTGGTGGGAACCGGCTGGGAGCCATGCTGCACCAATTCTGGTATTTTGTTCTTTCGTTGGCATTGTTTGTTGCTCGGTTTCTGGTTGTTTTGGAGAATTTTCATTTTTTTAGTACTGTGTTTGGAAACTAATACACAGAATACTGTATTATGTGTATGGTGCTTTTTGTTTCTGCCTCAGCGGCCCTCGAGGTGCTTTTCCTATTTTCACTGTTCCCCAGCTGTGGAAAGGTTGAAAACCACTGTTTTAAACACTTATTTCATTACCTGACCTGTACAGGAATTGTTATTGTCATGATGCCTAGTTTTATTTCCATAACCAAACTGCTTTTGTTGATTTCCTTATGTTTGTGATCAGCAAAACCAAAAAGTGGCATATCAATATTATGTTACAAACAAATGCAGAAGAAAAACCATCTCCACAGAGGGAAGTGCGTTAATTCTTTGAGTAGGAATTAGATCAGGTGTACTATGTTCCTGCTTTAGAGGTATCAAGGGTTTCAAGTTTTCATTGCAATCCGACAGGATTATGGGCACCTTTGCTAAAGTCTAGGGCAACCTTTCCAAGCTGGCTGGCAAGGAATTCTGGGAGTTCCAGTGTGAATATCAGGTTGAATTAGACCAGCCAGGAGAGATACTAAGACCTAGTCCTCAGTGCGGTAGGAAGCCTGTTACCAAAATTGCATAAGCAGTCCTACTGGAGCAGGCCAAAGGCCAATCTAGTCTGTTTGCACATTTCCTTTATTTATTGTTATATTTAAATCCCCTCTTTCTTCCTTGAAGGAACTGAAGGCTCCTTATATTCTCCTCCCCATCATCTCAGTATTATCCTCACAACACCCCTGCCTTCAGTACTGGAGGTCCTATAAAGCCACAATGTTAAGTTGCTGACAGCCTCATTTGCCACCATTTTTTCTAATCCTCTTTTTTGGTCATCGGGGATGGTGACCATCAATGCATCTTGTGATGGTACATTCCTTATTTAACAAATCAGTGTGTAAAATACTTCTTCAAGGGTGCATTCATGACAGTGCCTCCTCCCCCAGAATTAGGAAAGCTAGATATATTTATATGTATATGTATAAACCGCCTCATTAGCCCATAGGGCTCTCTGGACAGTGTACAATATAAAACAATTAAAAAATTAACACATTTAACATTTTCCTGCATGGCTAACGTTTTATGTGAGAGAGGGGCTCTGACGTCTAGTTTTCTCACTGTATGGGCTTCCTTTGTACAGGCAGGCAGACACTCATGTGAGTCCCTGTTACTACTTAACTGCAGTCCAAAGTACTATAGTCTAGACACAGTTTTCACACCTCATTGAAAATTAGGCCTAACACACAATCACTCACTCAGAAGCAGAAGTTGTGCAGGGCTGTCCCCCAGTAGAGATAAACGCACAAATTTACAAAGAATGACCTTTCACACACAAACACATGTACAGAGGAGCCACACTGTTTTAATTGCCACAAACATATCAAATACTGGCAGTTTTATTAGTATAAAAGAGATGGAGAAACATAGAAAAGCCCTCCTGGATCAGACCCAAGGTCCATCTAGTCCAGCACTCGGTTCACATGGTGGCAAACTGGCTGGATGAGTGCAAGACCTCCACTCGCTCAGGGTCCTCAGCAACTGGTGCATGTAGGCAGGCCACCTCTAGGGAAGGAGGAGCCCACGGCCAGCAAGGCTAGCAGCCACGGATAGCCTCCTCCCTCATGAATCTGTCCAGTCCCTTTTCCAAACCACCCAGGTGGGTCGCCAGCGCCACTTCCCATCACTGCGCATTCCATAGATGTGAATAAGACTCTCTCTTGTTTGTCCTAAACCTGCCCCAATCAGCTTTATGGGATGACCCCAAGACTGAGTGTTATGGGAGAGAAATCTTTCTCCCTGTTTCTGTTTTCTACATACCAAGGAACCCGTGTATTTTACCTAAGGTGGGAGCCTTGATGAGAGGTGGGTTTTATATTTTCAAATGCTGTTTCTTTGTTCCGT